CATGTCACCTCCTCCTAAAGTTTACCTAGTTTAGTTTTTGGTTTTTGTTTTAAATCAAATCTCCATAGGTTTTAATCAGTTTATACAATAGGAAAAACGGTTACTTTGGAACGGTATAAAACAAGAAATAAAATGGAAAGAAATCAGTTTGCTATCCTCAGTTCTCTGAAAGCAACACTATTTAAGCATATCACATTTGGTAAAAAAATCCTAACTACAACACTGGGAATGTTATCTTACCTGCATTTTTTTACTAATCGTTTAGAGTGTTAAATTACAATCTGAGGCTCCTTCTCCATAAAAAACAACCAACCAACAACCCACCCCACCTCACAATAAAAAACAGCAATCATATTGCTTCCTAAGAAGGACAAACCCAAACACTTTCTTCTTCCCCCATTATGGTCTCACATGCCAGCTCTTTGGCTCTTTTGTACTCCCTTACATACTTTTATCTTTATAGTCACTTAATTACCTAAACAATACCAGGTTCCCTGCCTCTTTAAAACAAATAGTTCTCAACTCCTTACACGAGTGCCTTTTTTTTGTATTTTTTTTTATCTGGCATATTTAGTTAGAGCAGCTAAACACTTTTTTAACATAGCTTTTAAATTACCTGATCAACTTTCTTTCTGTGACCTTCATTACTTCTCCTTAAAGGGTTAACTATTTGTGTCATCACTATTATACTTCTTCAAAATAAGGTACTTTTTGAACCACGTTTCATATATTACTCAAGAGTACAACAAAAACTCCTTCTCTTCTACTGAATTCTGATTAACTGCTCAAAAAGCATAACACCATAAAGCAGATCTACAACTGACAATTTTCAAGTGTGCCTCTTTACAGCCTCTTAGCATAATGACTAAAGTACTTGTGATCAAAAATACTGCAACTATACTATACTACTTAATATTTCCTTCCCAAGAAAAAGCAAAGAGCAATTTCAATACTTACTTTGTCTCTCTGAGATTTTTTTTCTAACCTGTAATTATTTCATCACTCTAACTTGTACAAATATTTTAGCATCTCCATGATTAGCTTTTCTGTCAGCTTTAAAAATGCTATCTTAAAATTCACATTCAAGGTTGGATCTGCTAAACCCATCATAACTTACATCAACTCTGGCTGACAAGGTACGCTAACTGAATATAGTACGCACTGCAACTGTGGTTTTACTTAACGTTCTCTTTGCTATTTCTTTCCTCAACTTGCACTTCTGTCCTATCTTAAGGGATGCATTACTGAATAGTAAAGCACTCCATACTAATAAATGTTTTCTAATTTTGATTTTAAAATTCTGCTTGTAATCATCTTATTAGAAGCAGAAAAGGAACCTAGATGCTTTAAGTCTAATATACATGCTGTATCTATTCAAAAACGTTCATGCTAGCAACTAAAGAAACGTCTCACCATAAATTCACTACCTACACAATGGAACCATGGCTCTGCCCAGGCCATCACACCGCTATCAACAATTATCTATCGCCTCTTCTGCAACAACCTAGGCTTCAGCTCTAGAAATTCTTATGCCACTTGGATGATGGTCACTGGAATTCTGTCTGGCACATTGCATTTAAGCATATGGCAAATCAGACCACGTATGCACCCTGGGGGCAAACCACTATGCAGTCCTCACCAACACTGCAAATACACTTTACTCAACAATCACATCCAGCAGCATTTCAGTCTGCCTCAACTCATTCCTCACACTTCCTATGATCTAGGTATTTACCAGAGGTAAAAAAGATGTATGGGCTTAAAAAAACAAAAAAACCAAAACAAAATGAAACAAAACAAAAAACATTGCAAAGCATTTGGAAGAACAGAGCAATAGAAGTTATGTTTCACTTTTAACACAAGCTTCCTAATATTCTTTAGTAAATCATCAGCATCCTAAGATTAACCAACTACCAGCCTGAGTAGGAACTGTCCATACAGGAAGTCAGTGTAAAATATTAATCCAAATGAAACATGAGGCTTGCTTCTTGAGGACCACAGCATCCTACAGCTTACCAATAATCTGTCAAGTTAGTGTTGGGGGGGAAAAAAGGATAAAAATATAAGCAAACAAAACACTCAAAAAAACCAAAATACAAAAAAAACCAGCACACAGATTTTTTTTTTTTTTACTGCTTTCATCAAAACAAGGTAATTATGAAGCCAGGCATCTGCACTGCATCATTTTTCACTAATGACTTTAAAAATCCATTTTCTCAGCTCTTACAGGTCTAGAATTAAATTTATGCTGCCTACAACTATACTGTATACAAATGAAAGTTAGTATCAGTGATTTTAAATGAATAACCTCCATGATGTAAAGGCTTACTTTCCACAAAACATTCAAACTTTACAAATACCAATTTTAAGAGTACCTTGGTGTTTTGCTTTGTTCCACACTCAGGCTAAAAAGCATCCATAATTTCTGATTTACAAAACAATAAGCAAGACAAGCATAAAGAACTGTGCACTAGAAGTAGCATATATACATACATACGCAGTCATTCAAGAGTTACACTTAACTTCAAAATTATCGATGTTCAGGAAAAAGCTGCTTTACATATTAAGCACCTCATTTCCCTAACAGGTTAAACTAAACTAAACCACGTAAGAACCCATTATCAGTGGAATTGCACACTCCTGTGCTGCTCTTGGATATTAGGCAAGTGTTATATATCAGAAGAATGAAGCACTGTTGTCCAATTCAGTGAAATGGCAGTGGCAAACATGCTAGCATAAGCAGTGTCATTCCAGTACATGAAACAAGTATGTACAATAGCAAGCCAATTGTTACAAGCAGCAATGGAAGCATCAAAGCAGAATTAACAGGGTAAACTTTTTCTAACTGCACACAAGGCATTACACACATTTTATTTTATTGTCCAGTCAAGTGCCCTATGTTTAATTTCTTAACTCACTAATCTGTCCCATTAACAGACCCTTTCAGGTTAAACTCAGGAATGCTGTCAGTACAAATTCTTCCATTTAAATGAAGAAACGAGCATCCCATTTTTTAAAATACACAAATAAGTCTCCATGATATTTGCTTCAGAAAAAAGGTCAGTGCTAAAATACGCATGTCACCATCTCAAGTTTTAAAGTGTTGCTTCTTTGCAAACTACTAGAAAAGTGACACACATGCACCCACAGAATAATTCTACAATTCCACTGCTTTGAATAAACTAAATATGTTGTGACAACCACACCAGTTTTATTTATAGCACCTTTCTGAAATTTAGAGCATCAAGAAATTATGTTTTATCTCACAAGGAGTAATTCTAGAATTTTCTGAACATGCTTTTGAAGTGTTGAAGGATTGAAGACCAATGCTTTTATCAAAGTTAAGGATGTCACAGTATCTTTGCACAATTCAAAGTCAAAGAGGCCATAGTAGGGTAAGTTTAAGTAGAAGGAAAAAATTATTTCCTATAACATAATTTGCCTTTAAAATACTAGTCAGATGCTTAACTTGACATGGATCTGAAACAGATGGGCATGATTATGTTTTTATAGTTTTATGAAATATTAAAAAGGCTTATTTAAAGATTAGCAGAAGGCCGGCTGTCTTCTCAATGTTACTGCACAACTGAGTTCTTTGCTTTCAAGTTTATAAAAATTCATGACATTACCTCCTTCTCTCCAAACTTCGCAGTAGCAGATCAACTGCAAGATTTGTTTCTCTTCTAGGAAACCAGTACTATCACCTAGAGTAGCTCACTGACACACGCCACCTTCAGAAGAATATTAACATCACACTTTATATATCAGCACCATTATCACCAATTACATTAATCATTAAGACCTTGATGCTGAGCAGATGCCTTTAAAGACACTCCAACAGGTTAGAGGGTATTTAACCATTTCCAGGAGATGCATTAAATTGTCCTATTGTGACATCCAAGTGGCAATACCTTGTGATGCAGTCTGCTGTAACAACTAAAGCTGTTTGGATGAGTTCATGCAAAGATTCTCGAGTTAATGATGATGGGAGTGAGAAAAGAGCTTGGAAACTTACCCAGAGCAAAGTATTCAAGCCCTAAAGACAGGTGAAAATGGAGGGGTAAGGGAAAAGGAATAAGACAGGGGAAAGAAATATTAATCTATTTTTAAAAGGGAAATGAATCATTTAGTGTCCAAAGGTGAATGTTGGATAAACTGAGGCAATTGGATAAAACCTGAACTACCTAATGTCAAAAACTCAAATGCTGCTAGGATTCAGTCTCCCAACTGATTCGCCTCAGGCTCTGAACAAGTTTCCTAAATGGATTGTTTTACAGAAATATCCATCAGAGGAAGTGTTTTCAAAACAAGTAACACACCAGGTGTTTGCAGCAAGGATTTTATAGCCCACAAAGGACAATATGTATCTATGGTTTTCTGAACAAATAGCAATAACATCACAACCTAACCTACAAAACTCAATACAGACACCTAAAGGAGTAATGTACAGATAAACACAATTTTGCCTCAATGAAAAAACGATATTCTGGACTCTGAAACACAAAGATTTTCAACCTACTTTTTACACAGGTGTTTATAAGTACAAATACACTTCCTGTGTAGGCCATGAATACTTAGCTGTAAGAAATGTAGCTTGCTTATTGAACCAACTTTTTAGTTTACTCTCTGATACATTATCAGTAAGATCAGCTTGGACTGTAAGCAACTAGTATACCACAATATCCTACAGCCTAAATCGAGTAATTTTTAGAAAGAGAAACAGGAAGAGATGGTAGATAAACTCAATTTCTAGAAAAGCAAGAGGACTGGTAAGTTCAAATTTTCACAAACCAAATCCACGGCAGCCAGTTTGTAGCAATTAATGCTGCTGTCAGAAGTTTTTATTAAAAAAAAAAAAAATAAATTTGAAATTAAGTAACATGGTGCAAGAATACAGTTATATCTGTTCTCATCACAGGTCTGTAACATTTACCATCAAACGTGGGAAAAAGAGCATTACTTGTGCTGGCATTTCAAGCTTCATCTGCTTACCACTGTGTTTGCTACTGCTATTTATCTTGATCATATGCAGCTGAGGTGTGAGATGATTTAGTTGGTTTGACCTTAATGAGAAGGGTAGTTACGTATACTAAGTTTTGAACAGAAACCTTCTCTTGCAGAAAAAACATCTTGGCCTTCGTGACACATATTTGACACATGACATAACTGACTTAGCACCATCTCTCTTTAAAGCACAATTAATTTGGACAGTTAACAAATAACTGTTCAACTGTCCGCACCAGCATTTTAGTCCACCACAGATAAGACTTAGAATCGAACAATCTTGCCCAAAAACAGAATCCCCTCCATTTCACATGTAATATACTATCTGGTGCTGCTCTTCCACCCCTCTGAAAGAAACAAATAGAACTTGCTTATTTGATGACACTCATTTAACTGGACAGGTAAAAAACATGAACCGAGCTCAGGTTCAGGCTCCTGCAGAGCCTACTGATGTCCTACCATTGCCCTTCTTGAAGCAGTCTCAAGAAGAGAGGAAACTGTACAGGGCTCCAAAGAAAGCGTACCAACAGAATTTCCCCAGAAGATATGATCAATTCAGTTGGGGAGGGAAGGCCTGTAGTTTGCACGCACCTTTCTGAAAGCCTTTCCAGAATTCAGGAGTATCATCTAGTTCAGTATATAGAAAACATCCTATATACTGACAATACTCCATGTCTTCCAAGATGCATACTGACTACTTTTTTAATTTCAAATTAAGCTATACCATTAAATGTATGAAATAGTAGAAGTATTCTGAAGTCACTTTCAAAGTCCAAACCTAACCATCCATCTAATTATTAGGAGTCACTGATTAGTGAACAGGCAAAACCTTTAAAACTCAAAAGTGCTTTTGAGAAATTTCGATGGTGCCCACAGAAATTCTAGAACAGTAAGTACAAAGAACAGTAATATATTAAAAAAAAAATAAATTAGGTCAAACATGGCTTGTAGTAAGTTTGGCATTTATAAAGTCTAGAAGATATGTTCAAGCATTCCCAGAACAACAAAAGAGAAGTTCAAATCCAGGGGTGGGACTCTGCAAAGCTTTAAAAACACAAGTCATAGAATCAGGAAGAATTTTTCATATAGAAGATTATCATAGCAGTAATTAAAACAAGCATGCTGAATCTTTGTGGAGGGCAATGCTCCAAAATACAGATCAATAAAATTGTTACATAAAGGCAAATTTTTACATGCTAAAATGCGACACATTACTATCACTTGCTAAATATTAGTTATTTCTTCACTTGTCCAAATAGATTTAATAAGTATTACTGTAAATATTCCCAAGAGAAATACAAAATTTACGGAACACCAAGATCTGAACATCAAGATACACCACTGATACTTTAAAGGCCTAGTATCAGCTTTATCTGTTCACTTCTATGCCTAGTTTCAATTAGGCCTGAAACTAGTCTCTTAATTTCTACTGTTTGTACTCTGCCCGTCACAGTAATTCTGCAATACAAATATTTTCATTTTGATCTGTTCAAGAAATTCTATAGCATCTTCTATTACATTGCTATAAGTACCACCCCAGCTGTTCTCCTTTTAATCATACACAAGATAATATGTTTGAAGTTCAGCATATAGGGATGCAATGAACCTACAAGAAAAAAAAGATATGGCATCTAATTCAAACAGAATAGCTACACAGAAGTCTGTCTTACCACAACAGAATCACACTTCAGGATGCACACACTGAAACTAGTTCCTTAGCAACGCAAGTAAGACTTAAATCCTGATATTAAGCTATAGAGACAAAAGCACTTTAAATGAAGCAAACTGCATGTTCTCATTAGGGAATAAAGCACATAACGAAATTTTCCATGTTTTGCCCATCTGAAGATAGAACAGGAGGTACGATTCGTTAAGTTACATATCAAATCTTCTGTTGAGGGGGTATGTTTTTACAGAGAATGAAATTTTAAATTAATTTGTCTTTAAAAATATATATATATAATCTGTGCCAGCCCTTAGCACTGCGATTATGTCCCACTCACTCATATACTTGTATACAAACAAATTCAAAATATGTAAATTTACATCTTATTTTCCCTAAAAAAGATACACATTACTGAATACATCTCCATACAACAAACCACAGGTTTTAAAAGCTACAAGTGAAACACACAACCCCCCCAACTTTCTTATTAGTTATCTAAGTAGGGCAAATTTAAGCTTGTTCACATACTTTAAACTTTTCATCCTTGGTAGAAAAATTACAAAACTTAACATCTTTCTATACAAGTCCAAAACTGACTTGGCACAGATCAAGAGAACTGACAACACTTGCTTTAGCTCTTCTTTATGTATTTAGATAACCATCTCACAGTTCCGTAACATTTTTCATTCACTGCGCTATACACATCACATGCTCTATAGCAAGCTTCCAACAAAGCATCTTCAAAGACCACAGAAGACTCAATCCTTTTACGGGCTATTTAAGCTGCAGCTCTGACTTAAATCATTTAAATCATTTAAAGCATAAGTCATTTGGTGCACTTTCTGAAGCCTGAAGTTTCACACATGGATTGCTACCATTTAAATAAGCACACATTGTATCAGAGTACAGCCTGCTAGATGTTCAGTGACCTGACCTAAGTCTAAAACAAATACTCAAAGAGAAGCCTTAAAGCTACTTGTTCCAACTTGATAGTCATTTTAACCCATTTAATCAAGCTCTCACAGCTCCCTTAAACAGGATGAAAGACTGAAAGCAGACCTGTGCTTAATTTGCTCATTCTTCTCCTCCCAAAAATGTATCATGGGAAAAGTTGTTACAGATAAAATTATTTATAGTTTCTTTACATTCTGAAAAAGCAGGAGAAATTTGGTAGTTATTTCTGCAAAATCCTTCATCTGGAAGTTTTAAGAGTCTTAGAGGAAAGAGAGAACATACCTGCTATAGGCACATATCCAACTCCTTGCTGATATACAGTGGGCATCAGGACTACTGGCTGGGGCTGCATCATCATGGCAGCTGGCAAAGACTTGACACAAAAAGCACAGATTACAATTACCCAAGAAATAGAAAAAATCCTAAACCAGCAATTAAAACAGTAATTGCAAGCAAGTTGTCATATTGCAAATCCATGTTCAATATTACAATATGAGTATACTAAGTGCTAATCTATATTAAGCAAAATCTCTGCCAAATTAACTGAACCACCACCCTTTTAAATGGCAGTTAATTTGCCTGTAAATCAATACAAACACATCATGTCAAACTAGCCTTCTGAAACAGTTTGATTAATTTTGTCATGGAAGTGAATTATTTTAAAATACGGGTTTAATCAACTTTCATGCCTTATTCTTATGACATGAATATACAACATATTCATCATTAATTAAATCTTAGAGCAAAACCAAGTTTAATTATAAGCAGTATGCTTCTCCTAGAAACAAACTTTAGTTCAAATCAATTACTTTTCAGGTAAGTTAATACTTTAAACAAAATACCAATTTAACTCCATACCCTTTTATTACCACAAATCCTGTTCAGTTTGACCCTGGAAAATATTAAATGGTCAGATTCTGTGTACAGTACATTCATGGGCAGACAGTTTTAGAGGTTAATTCCAAACTCATTTTTCCTAGGAGTGATGGAACAACTGTTCAGATATGGGGCAGAATGGGTATTCCGAACAGCAGGGAACATCTGTTCCCAGTTGTTGACTCAACAGCAACTTGGAACTTTCGATGATGTACAAGTGTAATAGGAAGTATTCAGGGCTGCACATATTACAGTAGTTGCTGCTACTTAAGACAAAGGTGACAGATGAGAGAATACTCCATGAGCTGCTAAATGGACCAGTGTAAGTCAGCAGTTAATGACCAGGAGCACCAAATGAACAAGAATGGAAATAAAAAACAAAGCCACTGGAAAGAGAATTCAAAATAGCCAAGAAAGACCCAAGACAGAAGAGTTTCCATTATTTATGCTTTTAAATTTATATCAATTTCTAGATTTAGGGGAAAAAGAAATTAAGTTATTGTCAGACTCCACAAAGCTGTTTTAAAATATTATTATTAAATTAGAAATTACAATGGACCATTTGACTGGAAATTTCTTTTTTATACTTCTATTAACACAGGAGCAAGCTGAATTTTTGTAATCACAAAACCAGATAAATACACACCCACTTACCACCTACCAAAAAATATTTAGTGCCTTCAATTAATATTTTTGACTGCTATTCCCATTATTCTAAATACTAATACACATAAACACCCAGTAAGGTTCAATGAAAGTACTTCTACTTCAGTCTAAAATATCTCCCTTCCACTAGCCAAAAAGCTCTCCCTCTCTCTTCTCACTCCAAACTTGGCTTACCGTGTACGACATAACCAGATTAATCATTCCTTCCTTGTCATCACCTTGCCTTCCACTCAAGCTATACCATTCATCCTCCACATTTCCTTGTTTCAGAGACTCAGGAATTGTAATGTGTGTCCAAGCTATGCGATCATCCATTGAAAAGGCCCGCTGGTATATAATTAAAAAAAAAATATTAAGTTAATACTCCTGAAATAAATATAGAAAAATATTAAAATTTTTTGACTAACACTTCCTTCAGCTTTATGCTATTTCATTTTGCCAGTTTAAAGATACTCCTTTTGAAACTACTGATGTATCAGTAAATATTTTAGCTATCTCCTTTCCAAAGACCAATGATGTTTAAAGTGGGATTATAGACTGATTGCAGATATTAAATACGAAACTGAAAATCTGAAGCAGAACACTTCTAGAAATACAAGAGACTAACTGCAGCACAGTTTGCATGAATCTAGTGACATTGTATCAGAGGTCATTAAATGAATGTAAACAGCTTCTGTTTCCATTACTACAATAAGGCTGTGAACTCCAGTAATTCAGGAGTAGATATAAGTACTGATCTGCCACCTCTGTTGCAGCAATGAATCAGACACTTCAACCAATTAAGTAAGCCCACAAAATAGCACCCAAAACCCTCCCTCGTGTAATGAGCACACTGCTGCTGCACTGTCAAGTTTTACTACACACAGTAAGACAGGCAGGAAAAAAAGGGGCAAACAGACAGATTTCAGCCTCAGTTGTGGCCTCTTAGTTTCTGCTTATAAATCCTAGTGATTACAGCCTATACTTGACAGTTTTATTCTCAGCATTTCTGAGCTTGAGAAAACTTCCAAACTCCTCCTAAGTCAGAATAACACTGAAAAATTTCTGACTAAACCAGCACTGCATAAACAGGCTGTTTTTAATAGGGACAGCACAAAATATAAGGCTGCAGGGTATTTTGATAGTGAAGAGGAGCTTAAACACCAATCAAGACATTCTGCTGCTTTTCTTTTGCAGGGAACCCTGCTAGTTCCCCATATCAGCTACCAAAGTAACAGCTCTGACATTCTTGGGAAAGAGGGAAATATATAGCAATTCTGACCTCATCAAATATCTCTAGATAAAAAGAGTCCACACCCGGGGGAACAGTGCACTGAATAACTTTGTTCCAGCGGGGGTTCTTGGCTCCATTATGTGCTGTTGGAGTTTCATACACAGCATACCCCAGCCGTATTCGACAATATGGATCCATGCGGGTCATTCCATAGTTTTTTGCCAATTTTGCCTGGAAAGAAAAGAAAGCCTTTATTTACATTAACTTTAGAAGTTAATCACCATTAATTCACAAAGAGAATCTAGTATTGAACAAAGGACAAGAGATAGGCATTTCTGAGGAAGACAGGAAGGTGGGGGGAACCACCGAAGAAAACCAGCATTCAGATTAAAACATAAGCCAATTGACACGATTAAATGTCTGGTAGACATTGAAAAAGGAACCTCATTTTTATTGTGTGCTGCAGAAAATACAGATCTTCACCATAGCTAAAATAAGTTACTTCATACCAAACCAAAAGATACACGATTACAAGGAAATAGTAACAAGTTCAATTTTTGCCTAAGTATCTGCTCTCCAATATACAATCATAAACTTAATGTTATCCATAGCCTGTCCTTTTTCACTGAAGTATTTTTAAAGGATGAAATACAAAAAACTGTAGCTTCAAAAATATCACACAATACAAAAGCACAAACTGCAAAAGCAGTTCAACTGAGGTAAAATCTAGTAGACAATACTTTTCAAAATTATTTAAAAACTTACTTAATCCAGTGTATACTTTGCTATTACTTAATTCAGTGGGCAACTTAAGTTCTACTTTACTATAAAAAAAAGATGCTATATAGAATCAGAATACATCAAATATACTTTTGGTGTAACATCTAAGGAATAAAACAAAACAAGTTGATGACAGTCCTGAAGACAACACTCAGTACTGTTACACAGCTATGCCAAAGTAGAAATTGGACTTTTTAGACATGCTGTTTCTCTGACCTGTACTAAAGCAGCCTATAGCTCTCATTATATAAGGTAAGTGATAAAATATAGCGCTTAGGATGCCTCCCACTTATAGGACATTTAAAGAACTGGAAAAGTTGAGACTTGCATAAAATTTAGAAGCAATGGCAGCAGCTCTGGCCTGAAAATCCCTTTTCTCCTTCAATGTACATACTGGTTCAGTAGTTCATACATCAGAGCTGATGCAAAAGGTCTCCAACTGTTTCTTGTAAATGTGCGCTTAACAATTAAAGTAGAAAAGTTGGCACCCAAATTATGTACTCTCTAGACTGATGTCCTGAAATTAAGCAGTTTATAGTAAAATTTTACCTAAAGAAAGGACACTATCAACTGTGCTTAGACAAACTTACCACAGTTTCTACATATCTGCAAGGAAAAAAAACCCAGGAAGTTACCTCTCCAAAAACATTTTCTGATCTAAGGCATGCTGCTTCTATACTTTATCAACACATATTTAAACACAAAATATTTCAACCAGCTTTTCATGTTCCACAGGTTAACTATGCCATGGTGAAGTCTCCTATGCAGAATGCTACATGCCCCAATATGCAGCCAAGACTACCACAGCATTCTTGCATAAACTCCCAGACAGGTACAGAAGACTATCTCTTGGGACACCACAGGGCTGTACTGCCATTCACAGTGGGATCAGGTTTGGATTAAAACTCCAGAGGTCCCCTCTAACCTCAATTATGCCGTGATTCTATAATAAGTGCTTATTTACAGACATGGCATCACAAACAGTCATTAGCTTTTATTCTTCAAAGAAGATTTTTTGTCTGTACAAACACCTTAAAATAAACAAGGATCAAACCCCATAAAGACCGGTACCAACTCCATCAGTTCACCCATCCAAACAGTAATCTGGATGTTTCTGTACATAGCCACTCAAAATGAGATGCAAAACTCCTTCCTGAATATTGTACTGTCTGCCCCCTTGACTGCTCCAGGAACTTCTACCAACTATACTGTCTGGATCAACAAACTATGACAAAAAGCATTTTAAGCTGTCCAAGCAAACAGCCAAAGATGAATCACCTATGGAGTAGCATACAAGTTGCTAGAAACTGCTAGAAAGTTGAGAGACATGGTATGTTGTTTGATAAATTGTTTGTTTCCTTATAGGCTTGAGGTTTAACCTGAATCATCTTTTCCTAGCTCCAGGAAAAAGAATTATACTAAAGCTTCTTCCACTATGCTCCAAAAGTGATAACATATTTCTGCTGCTTCCAGTCTTACGCTTCTCTGAACACAGATTGGGAAACTCAGAGTTAGAAAAAGGGCTGCAACTGAACGCAATTGATGAGTTCAAGTATCTAGACTTCAGAAGTAATAAACCTTGAAAAAGCATTACTCCCAGTTTTCAAAAGAAGGATGCAACCTGTGAAGGAGCAAACTGACCAGCTGAAAGACATAAAAAGGAAGGATCAGTGCCTCTTTTCCTGAGAGACCTTATATAGGTTTACTCCCCAATAAGGGCCTCATCATGGAAGCTGTAAACGCACTATTGCAGACTTGGTGCTGAATTTGAGCTAAGCATTTCTTTGGTATGTTTATAGAGAGAAACTTAAAAACAGCACCTGTAAATAAATGAAGTATGTTAAGTTAATATGAAGGACACCTGGTGTGCTAGCATAGATAAACAGAAATGTGTTGAGACAGACTAGTTTTAAAACTTGAAATCTATTGCCAAGAAGTAAACGAAAGGGTAACGATGGAAAAGAGGAAATAGAAATAAATAGCCAGGACTACACACTTGTGATTAATAAGAAAGCTTGCAGAAAGCAGTAGGAAAAACAGCAAATGCATTAGAGAAAACAGGGATGGAACAAAGCAGTCACTTAAGACACAATACATAAGGCAACTGCAGTTCCCTACAATATTTAAAAAAAAAAAATAAAAACTTGAAGTTGCTAATGTCTTCCAAAATTAAGTGTTTTTACAGGAAGCCTTAACAGAAATTTTCAGAGAAACCTATTCACTGGGGGGAAAAAAAACCAAACCAAAAAACCAAAACAAACAAAACACAGGAGTTTATTTGATTATGTGCTATAATAGCAAGGTTTACAGGAAATTGCTGCACAATGCAACTAAGAAACATGAAACTGAACAAAATGCGCATGAACAGAAGCATAACCTAAATCAAAAAAATTACTCATTCCCTATACACAAGTAATTTAGTAACTCAAATTCCAACAAAATCTTTGTGGCCACTGATCGAAAAAGACTGTATTCATTACTTAATCGTACAAAGATGGTACAATTTATACCTGTACTACAGTAATGCTGAGTCTGCCTACTGTACCCATTGGTCCTCCATATTGTAGCTGCTGAGCTGCCTGGGCATCCAGCTGGATTTGCTGTTGCTGCTGCGTTGGGGTAATGCGAAGAAAATCTTGAGGAAGCTCACCAACATATACCTTAAAAAAGAAAAAGAGACAAACCTTCAAATCTAAGTCTTTCACTATCATGATGAAAAAGAGATAAGAATATAAATCAAAGAAAAGCTAGCAAAAACATTCAGCAGAATTTAGTTTAGCATGTGCAAAGAACTAATTAAATGACAAAGCTGCTATCTCCTGTAGAGAATATTCTCATACTCACTTTCAAAAACACTAGTTTCCAACATAAGCCTCTGAAAAAAAGTAGCACATACCAAGGCTGCTCTGCAACTAAACGTTTAAGCAGCCAATACAAAAGTCAGAGCTACAAAGTTTTATATCCCATTCATATCTGATGGCACCCTGCTCTTTCACTTATCCATCACTCATGTTACATCCAATCATTCCTGTGATAAGACCAAGTACACTGCTTTCATTTGAAATGGTCACTTTCACAGTCTCCTTTAAGACAAATCAAAAAGACAGTGCTTCCTACAGACCAAATCCTTCAACATAACTAAGAATCCTTCAACATCACAAAGCTTTTCAAATGTTAAACACAGATAGCCTGCACCTAACCTTGGGGACAAACTGGGGACAAAATTCAACCATACTCCAAACAGTAATGGATGAATTCAAAATCTGGTCTACCACAAGAACGAACCATAATGAAAAATTCAAAGTAGAAATATACTAGAGGAATTCTGCCCTATGTGCCAATACGCATTAGTAGTCACTATGTATTTTTCTCCTATCTTTACAGGAAGGGAATGTTTTTACCTACTACTTATTAACTACCGTTAATTCAACAACCATTCAGGTTTTAAATGCTCAATGAATTTTATCAATAACACATCTAGAGAGATCATCACATTAAAATAACAAGCATACTATAATAGTAAGTTTTAAATGCAACAGAGTGGCATAGAAAATTTATAATTAAGCTGTACTCCTTTCTGTTGTCTATAGAGTTGGTTACCTATTTAATACAAAATGGCCACCTCATCAAGAGAAAAAACAGAGCAATTTCTTATTTTGCAATCCCAGACAAGGTTACTCAATTCTGTATCTGGCAGATGCATGCCTACAGAACATAATTTAAGAAGTTAACAGGCCTCTAGGGCATAGCTTTTGAAGATCAGACAGCACTTGCATGTCAAGATTGCATCTTGGAGACAGAAAGAACAGCTCTTTCCAAAATCACATTTTGTATGACTATTTCTATTTGAGAGCCTTGGGATCCTGGCAACAGTAGGTGTTACATGCCAGAAAGGAAGTTTATGAAAAAGGCTAAGGAGGAAGTACCAAATGCCTGCTGCTAGGCTATTGGGAGGGAGAAGAGGGAATCAGCTTTGCTTACAAGCATCTTAAAATCTTGCAATTAGGATCCTAAACAGCTTACATTTAAAAAAAAAGGGTGAAGAGAAATGGGGGCAGAGAGGGAAAAGACTAAGCTAAAAGACAGTGCTAATATAAAAAGAAAGCTTATTTAAGTTAGGCTGGAAAATTAGACAGGGTCTTGTAACAGCCTTCTCATTAGAATACGTTATAAAAAATGAAACATAATCCATTTATATTTGAAATGACACCAGAATTAACAAGGCAATGGCATTTACAACACAGCAGATCCCCTCCAACTCTTGAACTCCAGGAATTTTCAAATCTGGTATTATTAGTATCTCTAGGGACAGGTATCATAAAGATTTTCCACAGTCAGAAGCAGTGGCCACACCCTGAAATTACACTCCTATATGCACAAGCTCCCGCTGTCAACTTAGAAAAGACATTCGTCTCCACCATCTTAACATGGACATTCAAATGCTTAACTCATTCACAAAAGAAGCTTAATACCGTTCACTTTTTAAATTTTAAGTCATACAAGTGCTGCTCCAAAATAAAATATGTAAGGTAGTCTCTACTAAGGTCCAAAAGAGACAAATTAAATCTGTAAGGAAGACCAAAGTTTACTTACAGCATCTAAACTGATTTTAGGTCATTCAGTTATCTCACACAAAGCCACATTCTCATCATGGAATTGCAAAGCAGACATACACAGGAACTGAAAGCAACTAGTATAACCAAATTCTCAAAAGATCCAAGTGGTAAACCTCTCAAAAAGGAAGAGC